ATATTGATGTAATATTATATTTATATTTATGTAAATGACATTGGTTTTATTGGGACCCATGTTCTCTATCCTTGAACCGACCTAACCCGACCAAGCTGTGTGACTAACGTCTGACACCGCCTGACATCCATCCATTGAAAAATCTTGTAGCTGTACAAAAACTACCGAACAATTACGTATATCTCAAATAAAATGATCATCTAAGCATTTTTGCCTTGCTTTGTATCAAGTATAACCTTCACCTTATAGTATTCCAGCGTTGTTATTAAAACTAATTCCTCAGTTTGCTGTCATAGTGTAAATTTCAAGAGCCGAACCGAAATTTCAACTAACCGCCAACCGCCATGTTTGCAATGCGCATGCTTTTCGAACGTCATGCGGAAAACCCGAAGCGACATAACATACCATAGCGTTGCAACTTGCGTTAGCGCGAGCATAAATAAGCATCATATACTCGTATATATATAAATATTAAAACATTGAAAACCAGGAAACGTCAATCTACAACAACTTAATAATTATCGTTGCAAAGATATGTACTTGCGTTGTATTTAGGCCTACGCACTGTGAAAATCAGGTCCATTGCCGATTTTAGTTGCAATGAACATGGCAGACATGGCGGCTGTCTGGTTGTTTTGATCCAATTCATCGCAGAAAAACGGCATAACTCAATAAATAAGTAGCGCCCAGTAGCGCCCAGTTACCGCGAGCAAGCCAGAGGTTTATAGATTTGTTTGAGCTATTACATGTGACACTAGCTGTGTCGATGGTTGGATACCGAGCCAACTACAAGGAATTGTGGGCAAGAATTTGAAACGGTATTCTAACCCTAGCAATACCGTTTCTTGGAGCTAGGTTAGGCCTAGCTCCAAGAAACGGTCTTGCTAGGGTTAGAACACAGGCACTTGAAGCGTTTCAATAAAATATAATGCTAACTAAATACGAAATCTATTTACTACCAAATTCTTAATGTTTCTATAGGGTACTCTCTTTCACCTATTATTGCCGACAGTTTCCTGTAAATTCCGTCCAAATCCTACGTGCAACCACATACGCTGCCAACCGGCATTGCTGCTGCGGCTCTACTGTTGCACGCTTACACTAATAATACTAATAGTAATATATATAGCAGGTAGGAAAAAAATTAGCACGTAAGAAAGCGTGATCGCAAAATTCGCTTGACGCTCGCTTGATTTCACACTTTCACAGCACGAATACATACAGGCACTTGAAGTGTTTCAATAAAATATAATGCTAACTAAATACGAAATCTATTTACTACCAAATTCTTAATGTTTCTATACTCTCTTTCACCTATTATTGCCGACCGTTTCCTGTAAATTCTGTCCAAATCCTACGTGCAACCATATACGCTGCAGCCGCCATTGCTCTCGCGGCTCCACTGTTGCACGCCTACACTAATACAGGGGTAGAAATAAGGACAATATGCAAGTTAGCCCGAAGGGCTAGTAAGGTAAGGTTTGTACTAGCCCTTCTGGTTTTCAACTAGTCCTTAAAAGCATGATGTCGATAATGGTTGCGCGGGAAAATTGTAGATCTCACGAATGCTCCGAGATGCTTTCTGAGGGTATTGTGGACTGAATTTGAATGCTCACAAACTGCAATTAAATTCCCATTAATCATACACTGATATATCCGAAAACGGGCTGAATTACGAAATCTGGTCTGGAATTGTTTACTTGCCCGACGGGCAAGCCAGCCTGGCCTTTAACTAGCCCTTCCAAACAATTACTAGTCCCGGGCTAGCGGGCTACCGGCTAATTCGACCCCTGTAATATATATAGCAGGTAGGAAAGCGTGATCGCAAAATTCGTTCGACGCTCGCTGGATTTCACACTTTCACAGCACGAATACACATCCAACAGCTTCCATCTTTGTTTCTATGTCAAGAACAGTGTTCACTTGTTATAAAAACATACTGTCTCTGTTCGTAACCGAGCTGTGTCACGCGAAATCACACAAAGACTGACGAAATTCTCGCATTCGCGAACCTTCCACGGTAATCTAAATGGCTGTCAGAATCAGGGCTATATAGACTGGGACTCGCTCCCACCTCGATTACCCATCAAGTGACTAAGCTAAGCCGAGAGGTGTGAGCGAGTGCCAGTCTATGGACTATAGGCGGCGCACTGCTTTCCAACTCTCGTACGAGCCTCACCATTGGAACGTTGCAGCGTTGCGGCGCAAGAATGAGGTCACGAAGAGCGCCGGTAGGTGTTTCCTGATTCTGACAGCCATTTACATTACTGTGGAAGGTTCGCGAACGCGAGATATTCGTCAGTCTTTGTGTGATTTCGTGTGACACAGCTCGGTTACGAACAGAGACAATATGTTTTTATAACAAGTAAACACTGTTCTTGACATAGAAACAAAGATGGAAGCTGTTGGATGTGTATTCGTGCTGTGAAAGTGTGAAATCCAGCGAGCGTCGAGCAAATTTTGCGATCACGCTTTCCTACCTGCTATATATATTAGTGTAAGCGTGCAACAGTGGAGCCGCGAGAGCAATGGTGGCTGCAGCGTATATGGTTGCACGTAGGATTTGGACGGAATTTACAGGAAACTGTCGGCAATAATAGGTGAAAGAGAGTATAGAAACATTAAGAATTTGGTAGTAAATAGGTTTCGTATTTAGTTGTATCCCCCGAACGAGTTCGGGGGGATACTATGGATTTGGCCTCGTCGCGCCGCCGCCGCCGCCGCAGAGATTTCCTTGTGAGCGCTCTACCGGCTGCAGTTCTTCTCAGATCATCTTCAAATTGCTACTGCCTAGAAAAACTCATGCGAAGTAAACACTTCCATGCAACCAATTAACCTTTGACAAAAGTTATGTTATGGGCAGGGAAACACTATTGTCACGTGGTATATAGCAGCTACGTGGAATAAGCGTATCCTCTCAATTTTACACGTTACACATCGGAGCTCCGCTTTTAAGCAGGTGTCCCTAAATCTGAATATTTATAAAAATGTGTGAAATTGGCGATAATTTTTAGGTGTAACGGCCAATCACTCGCCACATCTCAGATTGTTTCACATCTCAAACATTTATTTTTCACATAAAAAATTACACATATAATTATCAAGAGTATATAATGGGAGTTCTCCCATATATACTCTTCGTTTCTATAATGTACGTCGATGGTTGCTCAATTAAAACTGACTTCTTCTCACTCGCTCATTTGTGTCCTTTTTTTGTGGTGAGCTGCAGTGTCATTGACACTCATTATTTACACAGATCTAAATTCTAAGTGAACTCATGATCTCATTTTGCGGTTTCTTTCTTCCAGAGTTCCATGGAAGAATCTTCGAATAATCCATCTCAGAACACCTACATTGGAAGGTAAAATTTTAGCATTCATAAAGAAATGAATATTGTTTGCTTATCCTTGTAGATGAAAGAAAATATTCCACTATTAATTATTTATATTCATTTGTGTTTCTTTTCTGTCTCATTTTTTATATATCAATTAAAAGCATGAGTTCTGATATTTCACTAATATTTTCAATTGAAATTGTCAAACTTGGTTGAATATGAATGGGAGATTTCCTTGTACTAAACATGCACCAAGTGTGACATATATGTTGTATCACATTTTAATTAGACGAACAGGGCTTGACGTTAAAGCTGGGAAGAACATTCGACGTGATACCTATGGATATGAAAGGTTCGAAGATTACTGGAGTTCCGGTAATTGTCCTAGGTCTACATGGTTAGCACAAGTCAATCGATGCACTACACTGGATAATTGTTTAGGGATACATTTGTTGTATGGTTAGAAGTATTTATGTAGCAGAATTTTCAAGAGGGTCACACTAACTCCTGCTGATTTCAAACTAAGGAGCATAACTGTAAACTGGAGTATAGGACTCTGGAGTCGCATTCAGTTTAATGCCTGTAAATATTTTTATATTAATTTGAATTCAAAATTAACATCTTCAGATGATGACGAAGAAGAAGAGGAAGAAAATTACAGCAGTACTGTCAAGAATACAGATGTACAGGTTGCATTGGTATGCTTTTGAAAGTTCAGATGCGTCACAATAACTGTCATTGTGAAAAATGTGATTTTCGTCTTTGTTTTTTGAAGATTTTCGAATTTTTGGTAATACCTGTGATTCCCAATAATTTATACTTTGGAGTATTTCAAGTCTGCATTATGCAACACAGATTTACTGTCATAACTTGCCGCATGTGCATTTTTAAATATTCTCTACAGAAAGCAAAATCTCCTGCTAACCTGAAAGTCGGTTTGAAGCGACTGAGCTCACAAACACACAACTCTCCCAGGGGGGATGGTCCTACTGGTGATTCTGCCAAGGAGCATTCTGCTAGTATGGTCAGGAATAAAGATGTACAAGGAGGAATGGTATGATTTCGGAGGCATTAAGATGTATTACAGAGGCGTGTTCAGGAGAGCGAACGCTCGAATCGAACGCTCGCTGCACGAACGCAGCGCCTCTTGAACGAAACACGAGCGCTCGCTGTGCGCTCGCTTGATCAAAGATGGCGGCCCCCATGAAGGGTTACTCAGCAGAGATTTTAATGTCTTCGAACAAGTACTGTTAAACGAATTAGCAGACGAAATTGATACGAATTGAATTTAGAAGTAAATGAATGAATGAAAAATGAAATGAAGTGGAAATAGATTGCAAATTGACGTCAGAAATGTTAGATTCGCATTCACCAGATTTCCCGTCGTTATCTTGTAAACAACTCGCGCGCTGAGCGAACAGCCTTTCAAACTTGCGCGCAAGCGCTCGCGAGCGCAGTGTCGTTCAGAAGGCGAGCGCTCGCGAGCGTTCGGCCTCCTGAACACGCCTCAGGTAGCTAAAAACGTTAAATTTATTGCGTCATTGTTCTTTGAAAACTTGGGAGCGGACGTCTCATGAATTGTTATTTAGCGGTATTAGAATATGCATTATGCTAAAAATGTTTTTACTGTTTCCATATATGTTAAACTGGTTCATTTTGAAAATATTATCTGCAGAGAACAAAGTCGCCTGCGACTCTGACATTGAGTTCAAAGAGACAGTGCTCAGAAGCACGTATTTCTCCTACGGATACTGCGCACACCGGCGACTCTACCAGGCAACATCCGACTAGTAATGGCACAGCGACTAAAAAAAACAAAAGAAACTTGAAGGCTATCGGTGCGTACCAACAGCGAGATAGACATTTGTCTACTAGGTTGAGCGAACGCACACCATGTGCCATTGATCACGACTACAAACATTGCACGTCTACATGCTTTTATAGGCGTTGGCACTTATTTTACATCATGGAATTAATTCGTGAGAAATTTAAAAGGTATAGGCCAGGTCAGAAGATAAGCGGTTCTTTTTACTAGTCGCCAGATGTGCGATGACTAGATACTGTGTGTGTAGTTATAGAGTATAGTTAACCTGTGTCCTTGTAGAACCATCACCTGGGCAGCAGGCATTCGTGCGTGTTAGGAATCCACCACACATCAGCAGCCAGATCACGTATGAGGGCGAACACACCTCTGGCTCGATAACCAAGTCCATGGTTCAGCCAGCTGATGACGGCATCATCCGAGCAAAGACCAAAAAACGGTAGGTGGCAACAAACAGCCAAACAAACAAACCGAGAGAGAGAAGAATGCACAAAATAAACATCAATAAACATATATTTATTTCAAAACAGATTTAACAGTGTGTGCAGTCAGTTGTAGTTGATAGTAGTGTTGGCACGTCTATTTGCTTGTTATACGCTGTGAAGCCTTGATCAATCTGAATTGAAATGTCTACTTCCCACGTATATGTAGTGTGTAACTTGCCTTCCTTCCATGGCAGTAATAAACACTGGAGAGAACAAATTTGTAATCTGGTGGCTCAGACCTTTTGTAATAAATATATTCACTTGAATGTTATGATTAAAAATGTGAAGTGATTGCACACACATCTGGCATTATTATAAAGCTGTGTTATATTATAGTATGTATCTCAGGTGCAAACTGTAAACTTTAAATGAGAAGTTTTTTAACAACTAAATTGCGAGTTGACTAAATCAGTGTTTTCGAATGTGAGGTGCAGCAAACTATCTCTTGCTATATGTACAGTGTACTCATATGTTTCATTATGTACTACATTTTTTTTTATGTTTTAAAGCACCGTTTTGTACTGTATTACTCAGAAATGTTGTTATTTTAACTGCTCGACACTATTGCATATATCAGATTTTGTCGCCATGAAAAAGACTTGTCTTCAGTACATGTATTTGTATTTGAATTACATGCAGTAAAGATTTAATACTACTACTACTACTAATAATAATAATAATTATAGTTAATAATAATAATATAAATATAATTTAATAATAATAATAATAAGAATAATAATGTCGTTGAATGGAATCGTTTCGGGTAACCGCGGGTTTTGCAACCTGCTATCGTTATCCGAGTCGTTTATGTCTGCTTTGCATCCGTACAGGCTGACGTTCTCCGATGCCCTCGTTACACAAGCCCACGAGATCAGCACCACGGCCGATCCATCGTCTCCTGCGCCCGACGACCAATCACGCGCAGAGCCACATTCCGCCTCCGCCCGAAAGTCCGGCGTCGATTCGAAGCTGCAATCGCGTGTGCCCACCCCGCATGCGTCGCGGACCACCTCCCTGCGGAAGTCGCAAGTCCAAACGTCGGGCGTGGCCTCTCCACTGAAACCACCCGCTGATTCCTCTCAGAAGTTACGCGCTGCCTCCCTCCGAAATTCAGCCGCCAACTCTCATGAGAAGACACACACCATCTCTCCTCAGAAGACACACACCACCTCTCCTCAGAAGACACACACCACCTCTCCTCAGAAGACGCACACCACCTCTCTTCAGACTTCTCAGACTGCCTCCTTACAGTCTTCTCAGACTCAGTCAGACTTCGCGATTGCGGCTCCCTCATTACAACGCACCCGGCGGCAGGAAAGCGGGCGAAGCCAGTCTACGACGCAGACAGGATGCTGCACGCGCGGCGCCTTCCGTGTCGCTATCCGACGACTTCGCCGCACGAGCATCTCCCCGACGACGATCTGACCGCACGACAGGGGAAAGTCGCGTGATCGTCTGACGAGCCGTTCGTGTTTCGGCGACTTTCGACGAAGGAAGTTGCCAGGAGCGCAGTCAGGATTGCCAGCAAGAGCGCAGGCAAGAATGCAGCCAAGATCCCTGCCAAGAGTGCAGCCAAGAGTGCAGCCAAGATCCCTGCCAAGAGTGCAGCCAAGAATGCCAGCAAGAGTGCAGCCAAGAGCTCTGCGCCTGGTGCCGTGGTGGCGCTGAAGGTCGCAAGTCAGAACGTCGGGCGTGGCCTCTCCACTGAAACCACCGTTGCTGATTCCTCTCAGTCCAAGTCGTACCGCTGCCTCCCTCCGAAATTCGAGCCGCCAACTCTCCCATGATGAAGACACATACCCTTCTCCTCACAAGTAACACACAGCTGCCAACCTCTCCCTCCAGAAGACGGCACACCACTCTCTTCAGACTTTCTCTAAGCTGCCTTCTCTCAACTTCTCACATCTGCCTCCCTTTCACATTCTCAGACTGGCCGTCCCATCAGACGTTCTCATGGCTGGCTTCCCTGCAACAACCACCCGGCGGCAGGAAGCGGCGAAGCCAGTTCGATCGACCAAGAACAAGGATGCTGCACCGCGTCGGCGCCTTCTGTGATCGTTAACAGGACGAGCTTGACCGCTCGGGCAGCGAGGCATCTCCCCGACAACGACGTTGCCAGGAGCGCAGTCAGGATTGCCAGCAAGAGCGCAGCCAAGAATGCAGCCAAGATCCCTGCCAAGATCCCTGCCAAGAGTGCAGCCAAGAGTGCAGCCAAGAGCTCTGCTGGTGCTAGTCGCCAGAAGTGCGCCATAGTAAGATAACGTCGGGGTGTGGCCTTCTCCACTGAAACCACCCGCTGATTCCTCTCAGATGCAGTTACTGCGCCTGCCTCCCTCCGAAATTCAGCCTCGCCAACAGTCTGCATGCAAAAGACACACACCATCTCTCCTCATCTAAACAGGAAGACACACACCACCCTTCTCAGAAGACGCACACCACCTCTCTCAGACTTCTCAGACTGGCTTCCTTACAGTCTTCCTCAGACTTGCCTCTCTCAAACTCGCACACTGCCTCCCCTTCAACAGATTCTCAGACCTGGCCTCCCATCAGCCTTCTCATGCTGGCTCCGCTGCAAAACCATCCCGGCGCAGGAAGCGAGCCGATGAGCCAGTACGACGCAGAAAGGATGCTGCATCGCGTCGGGCCTTCCGTGCCGGCTAACCTGACATATCTCGCCGCAGCGAGTGCATCTCCCTGAACAACGACTGACTGTGCCGGCTAGACGACGACGACGGGAAATTTCGCGGATTGTCGACGAGCCGTTTGTGGTTCACTCGACTTTTACGAAGGAGGTCTGCACACGGAGGGCCAGCCAGGATTTGCCAGCAAGAGCGCAGCCAAGATCCTGGCAACAGAGTGCAGCTCAAGATATGCCAGCAGAGCCCGCTGCCAAGATTGCAGCCAAGCATCTCTGCCAAGAGCCTCCCCAGCAATGTCTGCGAATGCTTCGAGCGAGCGGGAAGAGCGCGGGCGATGTAACGGTCGTCCGATCTCGTGCTGACGTGTCATCGGGAGATGCTGGAGATCAATGGTGGAGACTGGATGACGGGACGCTGCGGCGGGGTCGAGAGAAAACGCAGAGGAAGATCGGACCGCGAGCTGGAGGCAGAGGAAAGTTTCGGAATGGCAGGCGAAGCGAGCGGGGCAGGATTCCACCGAACGAAGCTCGTCAGGTCTCGTCACTTAGCTGCACAGGAAACGAGGCTACAGGTCGACCGACGACGGGATGACGACGCGCCGTTGATGAGGACTGATAAGCGAGGTCCGAGTGGCCGAGGGCGCGCAGGGTGCTGGCGTCCGGCGACGAGGAGGCCCGCATGAGTCGTTCGACGACGACGACGAGGAGGCGAGCGGCTGGAGGAGCGAGCCGGCCCGCCGAAAGAGCGCAGCGGCATTTTGTGCCGCGGCGATCGGAGAAGGAGGGTCTGAGCATGCCACGCTCAGACACCCATCTCCGAACTCCGACCTAGCACGGCCAACGACAATTGTGACCTGGTTAACGTCTAGTTAGATCGCGCACGTCCGCTGTCTGTACTGACAACCCGACATCTACCCGGTACTTTAGTTAGAGATCTGCACTCGCGGTCTGGTACTGCCAGTGCGATTCATCGTAACGACTAAGTTAGATCTGCACTCCGCGGTCTGGTACTCGCGGACGACACCGGTAAACGTCTAGTTAAGATCCCACTCGCGGTCTGGTACTGCCAACCAGACACCGGTAAGTGTTTAGTTAGATCTTGCACTCGAGGTCTGGTACTGACAACGACAAGGCCCTGGTAACACTAGTTTAGATCCGCAACTCGAATCTGGTACTTATCGCGACGACAGCCTCGCTCGAAGTGCCTCGCCGGGTACGACTAGTAGTTAGATCCTGCACTCTAGCGTCTGGTACTTGACAACGACACTCGTAATCGGACTTAGTTAGTATCCGCACTCGAGGTCTGGTAGCTGCCGACGACACCGTACCATGACTAGTTTAGATCCGCTACTCGCCGCGTGGTACTGCCGAGCGACATGCGTAACGACTAGTTAGATCCGCACTGCGCGTCTGGTACTCGCCAGCGAACATCGTAACTGCACTAGTTACGATCGCGCATCGACGGTCTGGTACTGGCCGACACACCGTAAACCGAACTCAGTTAGATCCGCAACTCGCGGCCATCTGGTACTCGCCAACCGCACCGGTAACTCTAGTTAGATCGCGCACGTCGCGGTCGGTAGCTGCCACGATCAGGTGACCCCGGTATACTGACTAGTTTAGATTCCGCACTCTCGGTCTGGTAACTAGCCAGCTGACCCGGTTAACATCTAGTAAGATCCAGCAACTCGCGGGTCTGGTATCTGCCACGACAACCGGTAACATTCTAGTTAGTTATCCCGCACTCGCGGTCTGGTAACTGCGCAGCGACACCGGTTAAACTGACTAGTTAGATCCGCACTCCGCGGTCTGGTACTTGGCAAGCCGACATCGGTAACGACTAACGTTATGAATCCGCACTCCTGCGTCGGTATGCAGCGACATCGTAACGACTAGTTTAAGATCCTGCACTCGAGTCTGTACTGGCCTGACGACACCCGGTAACGAACTAGTTAGACCGCAGCTCGCGGTCTGGTACTGTGCAACCCGACACCTGGTAACATCTAGTTAGATCCGCACTCGGCGGTCTGGTACTGCACAGCGACACCGGTAACCCGAGCTAGTTAGATCCGCACTCGGCGGTCTGGTATGCCAGCGACACCGGTGAAACATCTAGTTAGATCCGCACTCTGCGTCTGTGTACTTGACAACAGACACCGGTAACAATCTAGTTAGATCCGCACTCAGCGTCTGCGTACTGCCCCACGACACCGGTAATCGAACTAGTTAGATCCGTCACTCGCGTCTGCGGTACTGCCAGCGAGCACCGGTAACTTCTAGTTAATCCGCGACTCCGCGTCTGGAGCTTGACAACGACTACCGGTAACATCTAGTTTAGACTCCGCACTCGAGTCTGGTACGCGACGACACCGGTAACGAACCTAGTTAGATTGTCCGCCTCGCAGTCTAGGTACTGCCAGCGAACACCGCCTGCAGCTCACCGTAACCAGTCGATTAGATCCGGCACGGTCGCGTCTGCGTACTCCGCAAACGGACACCCGGTAACGTCTAGTTAGATCTTGCACTCGCCGTCTGTACTGGGGGCAGGACAGGTACGTCCGGTAACGTCTAGTTAGATCGCACTCGCGTCTGGTACGCCAAGCGACACCGTTAACGTTTAGTTAGATCCGCAGCTCTGACACGCGTCTGCATTTTCGAGGAGAATTCGTTTGAGAGTCGTTCAATTCGAACTACTGCAGATGAAAACAACCATTGAGGTTTATTATTCTCTGACTGCCCGAGACTCGTTCTTTTGCTTTTCGCATCCTTGTTGCTTCTCTGACTAACTCTCTTGATTTAGAATATTGTTCTGGAAATTTCATTACAAGTAAAGAATGAGATGTGGCCCTCACGAGGCAATTTTTTATCATCAACCCTGACATCGTCTAGATGAGCATTGCCATTGGTGCTCATACTTCTCCATTCGTCGGCCCGTCAACATTTGCTGGATGTTCCAACGATAACATCAAGAACCCCAGTTTGAACCCCGATGTTTCAAATTACATACAGTTGTTACTCCTATGGGAAGGTTTTGAACGTCCTATTTGGAGTGGGCAGCCTGCCAGGCGACCTAATTTTTTGGGCAAAATATTGGAAATGGCCTATCAGATTCAGTTCAGGTCAATTGAGTTTTGCTCAGCTTCTGGTATGGTGATATGAATAAGGACTAGTCCCAAAAACAATAAATCACACAGGTTTTGAATTTTTTATATTATCTGACGCAAATTAGGTATATTCTATCAAGCCAATTTCACTATGCATTTCAGTTGTCTGCCTACATCAACGATAACTCAAGAACGTGTTGACCCCACATGTATCAAATTGCATTACAGTTGTATTACTCATATATGGGAAGAGATTTGAACGGTCCTTATTTTTGGCGCAGTCGACTACTTTTGAGTGCACGCCTACTTTTTGCAAAAAATGAAAATTGGCCATGCTAATTCATTGGATTTTGTTACATTTGGTATAGTGAATTTGTAAGGCTTAGCCTCAAAACAGTTGTTATGGGAGAGATGCACAATTTCCCTATACGTTTAATTTCGTCTAACTGTTAACAACCTATAATGCATACCTATATACCTATGTAATTTTTACTGTGTTTTAGGATTCTTCGTTACGTTAATTTGACACTTGGAATATTTTATCTGTTTTCTATTTGCGCGATATTGATTAACCATAAATGCGGTCAATTTAGGAGTAGCGCCATCTCTCGTCCCAAAGATTTCAGACATTTCAATCTGGGATCAACTGTTATGTTTCGCTGATCAAAAGGACTATGCATTATATCAGTAGTCGAAGGAGTAAGATATAAATGAGAGAGTGATGCGTAAGTATATGGGAGTTCTCCCCATATATACTCTTAGCTTTATATATCCCCCCTCCTTCTACTCACACCCAAGGTGAGCTTACAGTGCATTCCGACACTTTCATTAAATGATTTCCAGATGGTCCTATCGTAAGAACTATTGTACGTGTGGCCTGTTCTGTAAGTTTATCTGCTTTGTTCTATTACTCATGTCTATGGAGGTACCGTTGGGCCGCAGCATATGGAGGAAGAGCCTACCAGCACTATGCACAGTCATCGGATTTACCGATCAGTACTACATCCCAGGTTAGTACTCATGTATCACTGGAAGACTCGCGTACTGCTACTGTGTAGCCTACGAGACGTTACCCGCTCTCTCGGGTCACCTGATCTATTTGTCTTCCTTACGCCGCTATGATGTAAAACCTTTCTTCTTCTCCAGTTGTTACTTACTCAGCGCAGGCAGCAGCATGTTCCTGTTTCGAAACCCATAGCATGACTTTGTCCTCAATGTATTCAGTGCATGAAAGTACGGAATGTCACTGGCTGCTAATCCAAATGGTTGTGCCCTTCCTAGTAAAGCATCATTACTAGAACTGTATTTCCATCTACGTCAGACCGAGGATGGGGCGAATTTATGCCTGACCTCATGCCGTGTCACAGGCGTTGTGTTTTCACTGATGTCCTTTTGTTGTTTGCTTTCCTCGTAGTTCTGTCAACGACTTCAGCTAACATCTGATACCTTTTTCTTTGTCTCTGTTCTTGTAGACTCGTCCAGTGTATTGGACTTACATAGATCTCCCACCCACACGACGATAATATCCTGAGTTCTCGGAGAAAAAAATAGTCACCCACGTTTAAAACCTAAAAAAGTTTCATGTCACTTTAGAAGGACTGCACTTTTCAACAATAGTTTAACTGTGGTAGGGATATCTAATTAGAATGTTTTTTGAATAAGAATAATAGTCTGTGCACCAATGCCTGGCGATATCTAGGAACATGTTAAACATTCGATCCGTAACTCTGCTGGATTGACATTCTTCGCCGGCAGACGAGATCAGATCCCATGTTCTTTCACCAGAGAAACCTGTCCACCGATAGAAAGCGCTCCACGGTGAGCTCAAAGATTCGCAATTCGAAAAAAAGCGAGCATTCGAATAAATCGAGAGAGAAAGTCGGGTTTTGTATTATATATGAAGGTTGTGAATGATTTGTGTGAATCTGTTGTACTCAATATCAACTATCATTCCATCCATCCTGAGAACCGTATGGCTCTAAGCCTTTTGCAAAAGCAGACCATGTCGATCGCACAAATTTGCACACATAACTCAATCATAAAGTGCACTTCCAGTGATTCTCCATTCAGGATGAAATTGACAACAGGGGGGAGGGACCACAAACACACACACACGGGGAACATGACACGACGGAGGGTAAACTAGGGGGTCCCGGGGCTGGTCGGAATGCACTGCAGCAAGAACAAGTCCGCACCTGCAGCTACAACACACACGCTATTCTAATTGACTAGATATAAAAAACATATATATAGGTTTAATATACTAACTACTATAACCACAACTATATGCTACTATATACAACTAATTAACAATCTATAATAGGTAACGTTTGTTATAGTTGTCGTTTGTTATAAGTATAGTCAATAGATCGTGTGTGCTGTAGCTGTCAAGTCGGACTTGTTCTTGCGCCAGCTGGGTCGATATGGGAATGTCTGCGCGCCACCGTGGCCCCTCAAAATTTGCCAGTAGCAGCAAGCGCCTACCCAAAGCTGACTCACTCAGCCTTTCCTCATCGTAGCCATTTCCCATTAAAAAAAAATATTTATAAAAACGCTGGCGCGCACCAGGTTTGCGCAACGTAGGGAGAAGCCTGCCACTCTACCGGGAAATCGAGTGGAAACAAGCCTGGATTATTCATAATGGTGTTGGTATTGGTCTCATTATAAACCCAAAGAAAAAAGTTAAAAAAATTTCGTTGGTCGGTCAACTCTTCCGGACGATTGTGATA